TTTTGTAGAGTTACGGTAACTTTAAGGAAATAAAACAGCAAATGAGGGATCTATCCAGAACTAAGAAAAATTATTAGTAAATGCAGGTAATTCTATGCTGAATATAGGCACTCACTATACATATAACTAATGTGTGGGCTAACTAATAGTATAATAGTAATAGTACAATCCATTTTTCTTACTCAAAAGTAACTCTTTCGATATCAACCAAGTTTTACCCCTAGGTAATCTATATAAATAAAAATGTAAATGTTCGTTTGTTCAAAATCTTAAATCTCCGAAAGTTCTTCACCGATTGCTTTGAAATTTTGACACAACGTTGCATTCGAATACGCGCATGTTTTTATATACCTATATTATATAGATGTCACACCTGTGACAGGTAAAACATGCTTTTTTTGAAAAACAGCGCCATCTGTTGGACATAAAAGCAACACACGCTTTTACCAGACTGAGCCACAACAACGCATGGCCGGGTACAGCTAGTTGAGTATAGGACTGCAATTGAACAATCAATACATAAGGGAAAACACATTTGGAAAAATATACTATCTCCTATTTGAAATAATTTACTGCAGAGTTGGTTTTTTGGGCGGGATTATGCATAATGCTGTATCTATATACATTTTTTTCTCCAATAGGAAAGTAGACTCTCCAATAGGATATGATTTTTTTTTGATTCTGTACATCTCGACCGATCTGCTTCTATGGTGCCTTCGTCCGTTCCAGCAGTACCTCAAACTACACTTACAATAATGTGAACAACTGTTTTGAAAGCCTCTGACAAAGCTTAGTATGTTTTTATAACTTGGCTTTTTTTTTTAACAAAATGAATGCAATCATGATTTTAAAATTGCGTATGCATTTTAAGGCTTCCTGATCTTTAAAGATTGTTTACATAGCTTGAGACGACATCACTTCCTTTGGGAAATTAGGAGGGAGAAATGGGATAGGATGCCAACATCCAATATATTATGATCAGACCATAAGGATTTATCTGGAGAACTGCAATATATTGAGGCTGCATTCATATATTTGATGGATTTGTTTGCAACTGAGTTTTGATTAAATGCTTAAGACGTGTGTCAGATTGCATGGTATGGATGTCTTTTGAAGTATAATCACATGATGGTGCTTATTTAGGGCATTTGAAGTCCAACTGTAATAAATGGAATGAAAAATGCCTAAAAGTTGTTAAGATCAAGCCCAATAAAAGTATATAGCTGTATTTTCATGGAAATATGATCATAACATTGTGGGTTTTTACATAATTATATAACTGTCGGTGAAAGACTTTTATTTCAGCAGTAGACATGTCCCCGATTTCACAGTGACAATGAGTAATCTTTTCCATCGTTCATGACTGTATAAATAAAACGCCATCTTCATGTTTAAAACTGTAAGAACTCTAAATATAAACCAGCTAGACTTTTGAAACATATTTTCATTAAGAGAATATTTCATAGGGTCGCCTACCGGAACAATGTATTTTCTCTTCTTTAAAGAATTGACTCCCTGGCTTTGTTTAATGCTAGAATTAATGGGCCCCCAAGTCTGTATAATCAGAAGAAACCCAAATGTTCCAGACATGTTTCATTTTTTTTTGTAAAAAAACAAAGATTCCTGCAGCACCTACAGTCTAATAAATTTATTCACGAATAAACCTGGTATTTTTTCCGTCCCATTCATCGCATACGTGGCATATACAGATAGCAAAGTATTATTTATACATGTGTATATGTGTGCCTTCAAGTCAATGTTGACTTACCTGGACAAGACCTTGTAGTTTTCTTGGCCATGTTTTTGGAAGTAGTTGATCATGGTGTTTTTCCTTAGGCTGAGAGAAAGAGTGACTGACCCTACGTCAGGGGTGTCAAACTCAATTTCATTGAGGGCCGCATCAGCATTGCGGTTGCTCTCGGGGGGGGGGCAGGTGGGTGTGCTCCAGGTGCAACTTTGCACTCTTCCTGAAGATAAAAGGGAGGAGGGACTAAAAGAATTATTCCATATTCCTAAAATGTTCTGACATCTGATTGGGTTTTTGCTACATCGCTTAATGAAAATCTTGGCAAATTACAGCAAGTCAGTTCAGTGGCCAGAACGAGAATGAGATTATTATTTTTTTGTGTGTGTGTGTGTCAATCCGCTTTTGAGTTCTAGATCGGTTTGGTGGCATAGATGCAACTGTATTACTGCTGCGGGTTTGTGCCTGAAATACTTTGTTGTTGTTGTGAAGTCGTGTCCGACCCATCGCGACCCCATGGACAACGTTCCTCCAGGCCTTCCTGTCCTCTACCATCTTCTGGAGTCCATTTAAGCTCACGCCTACTGCTTCAGTGACTCCATCCAGCCACCTCATTCTCTGTCGTCCCCTTCTTCTCTTGCCCTCCATCTTTCCCAGCATCAAACCAGTCAGTCTTAGAAGAGATCAATCCCGACTGCTCTTTAGAAAGCCAGATCCTGAAGATGAAACTCAAA